TGTCTTCGGAGCGAGAAGTGAGGAGGGGCAGAGCTGGGGTCCTTCGCTGGACTGTCTTCTGAGCGAGAAGTGGGGAGGGGCAGAGTTGGGGTCCTTGACTGGACTGTCTTCTGAGCAGCAGCGGCCTCTCCCCTCCCCAGACCACCTGCCCAACCCGCGCGTCCTGCAGAAGCTGGCTGTGCCTATCATTGACACGCAGAAGTGCAATCTGCTCTACAGCAAGGACAAGGACTCCGACTTCCAGCCCCAAACCATCAAGGACGACATGCTGTGCGCCGGCTTTGCCGAGGGCAAGAAGGACGCCTGCAAGGTAGGCCAGGTGCTCAGCCTGCCCGCTAGCCAGGTCATGGGAGGAGCCGGTCCAGCCCCGGTGAGGCGCTGGTTACATGGGCTTCTCAGACCCATTTATGCCTCGACCGTCTGGGAACCTGTATTTAAAAAGCAGATTCCTGGGCCCACCCCGCCCGGCAGAGCCAGATGTAATGGGCCTGGGGCAGGGCCCAGGAATCTGCCTTTTTAACACACACCGCTAGGTGAGTCCGTGCAGGCATCTGAGGAAGCCAGAGAAACAGCGCCTCAGACAAGAGAAGGAAGGACTTGCAGCGGGGTGGGGGCCTGCGCAGGATGGGTGCTAGGGAGGGAGCTGACGGGGGAGGGCCAGGCAGGAGAATCAGGGAGACAGGGCGGGGTGAAGTACATGCACCTGTGCGCGTGGTGTGTATGCAAACGCATGCGTGGATGTGAGCATGCGCGTTCGTGCACTTGTGCGTGTGTATATGTTGTGCGTGCGTGTCTAGGTGCGTGTGTGCACGCGTGTGTGTGTGCACACGTGCGCACCTGCAGAGGCTGGCTGTCAGGTCCCTGTGGACTCGAGGGTCCCTGTCTATGCCCTGATGGTGGCCTCTACTTCCCTCGCAGGGCGACTCGGGGGGCCCCTTGGTGTGCCTCGTGGACCAGTCCTGGCTGCAGGCAGGGGTGATCAGCTGGGGCGAGGGCTGCGCCCGCCGGAACCGCCCGGGCGTCTACATCCGGGTCACTGCCCACCACGACTGGATCCACCGCATCATCCCCGAGCTGCAGTTCCAGGCTGCGAGCGCCAGAGGGGGCCAGAGGCGAGACCCCCGGTTCCAGCAGCCGCAGGGTGGGAACTTGGCGTCCAGCCTGGGCGGCCACGCCGCGCTCCTGGTCCTCGCGGCCCTGCTCACGGTGCTCTGAGTCGCGGGCCCGCCGCGAGGCCGGCCGCCGTGTACATTTGTAGATAGTTCTCCCATCCGCTCCACCGTCCATGTCTATCATTTTTATTTATGTTCACCCTGCAATAAACGCCCAACATCAGACCCTGCTGCCGTGCAGGTCCTTGAGGGGAGGACAGGGGCTGGGTCCCGGGTCCGAAAGGGCTGTAAGTTGGGGACCGAGGCCCCAGGTGGGGTAAGAGAAGACGGACTTGGGAGGGAGAAGGGAAACGTGGGAGGGCGGGGCTCCCAGTAGGAGGGGCTGGAGTGTCAACTGGGGCACCTAAGCCAGGCCCCTCCCAGGAGGCTTCGCCCCCGGATGCGTGACTCGAGCAATCCCTACTCCCACCCGTGTGCCAGCCTGTTGCTTTGAGTGTTTGCGGAGGACCGCCGGGCTGGGCGCCAGGGAGAGCGACAGACTGGGGAGGCAGTGTGCCCCACCGGCTCCTCCCACGAGCTGTCAATCAGCAGCCCCTGTCAGGCTCGCCTGGACCACCCCTTCACCCTCTGCGCACCGAGTCCTGCGCAAACAGGTCTCCAGCTCCGTCCGCCTGCACACCCTGGCCTTGCCGGCAGCGTCGGATGCGGCCTCGGTCGAAGGCTGCCCACGGCTGTTCTCCTTCTACAGCCAGATGGGTAGCACTCACTGCTCGTGCAGGCCCATTCCTGAAAGCAGGGGGCATCTGCTACATGTGGCAGACCGTCCAGCAGCACGCACGCACACCCACGCACACGCTCACCTGTGTTCGCACAGCTACGCACACGCTCACCTGTGTACGCACACCTGTGCACACACCCCCATGAATACACACCCATGCACATACACACGTATGCATGCCTATGCCCACCCACACCCACGCACACGCTCACCTGTGCACGCACAGCTATGCATATGCTCACCTGTGTACACACACCCACACAGGCTCACCTGTGCACACACCCATGCACACATACCCATGAATACACACCTGTGCACACAGCCATGCACATGCTTACCTGTGTATACACATGCATACTCACCTGCATGCACACCCACGCACACACACGCCCAAGAATACACACCCGTGCACACACACACCTATGCACACACGCACACCCACGTGCACGCACACACAGGCACAGCTGCCCGCCACAGTGCTGGGAGGCGGCGGCACTCGGTATTTACGGAAGGAATCCGTAACCACTCAGCGAGCACCTGCTGTGGACCTGGCCCTGGGGGGAGAGTCAAACAAACAAACAAGCGCACGGCCCTCGTGTCCCCTCTGCTGCCAGGCAGGAAGGACGGGCCACCTCCCCGCTGGCGGCACATTGGCCCTCCCTAACTGGCTGTTTACAGAGCTCCTTCCTGAGACCAAAGGCAGGCTGACCCCCGTCCTGGGGCTCCAGGGGCTCTGCATCTCGTGGGGTCAGGGGGCAGGTGCACTGCAGCCCCAGCAAGGGGGGGTGGGTGGGGAGAGGACCGGCTGAGAGTCCCGGAGGGCAGCCCTGAGGACAAGCTCTGGGCCATCTGGCTGAGCTGGCCCAGGGCCCCAGTCTTGGAGAGGAAGCCCCGGACCCTGGCTGGTGGGGCAGCCCTTTTGCGGCGCCAGCGGGCACCGTGTTTGTGGGGAGACCTAGGGTGCAGCCTGACTGCCAGGGGGGAAGGGCTAGGGTCTATTCTTGGGGGCTCATCACCCCATCTGTCCCCTCTAAGCGGCTGTCCCTGGCCCCCACCACCCTCCTCATCCTCCTGCCTCTACTACAGAGTGGGGCATGGGGCTGACAGGGCTGGGGGTTGAGGCCAGGCGCCAGGCAGACCGTGCACACCCAAATTCTGCCTCCCCCATGCCTGCCGGTGGGAGGGTGAGTCGGGTTGTGAGAGACACTGACCAGCCAGGAACCACTCCCAGCTGCCACCAAGGCCCACGGAGGCCACTCCCCGGGCAGACGTCTTCAGGAACCGAGAACACCCCGGCCCAGACCAAGCGTTTAAGGGGAGAAGAGGTTTACTTCACGTGGTTGACAGCCCGCAGAGGCTTACTGTCACAAGGACATTAAAGAAAGCACCACACACCGGCCAGGCTTGTTCCAGACGCCAGCTGCCCCCTCCCGGGGTGGGGCCCTTCGATGGGAGCAGCAGCCTCAGAGTGACGGGTCGGGGGCTTGGGGGACCCTCCAGCTCCGGTGAGCTCTCCTGAGAACAGACCAGCCGGGGATCGCTCCCTGGCCATCAGACAGGAGGGCAGCCCGGAGGAGCTGGGCTCCCCAGGGCGGCCACCTTCCCTCCCCACCAGAGAGGGTCCATGGTGGAAGGTCCCCCTGTAGCAGCCACAGTGGCCGGCGAGGCAGGAGGAAGGGCACGCGTGCAGGTTTGCGCAGGTGGGGGTCAGCCCTTAGAAGGCCCCAGGAGGGGGACTGTCTGCCCCCAGCGCCAGCTGGAGCCCCGGCCCCCAGCTCTGGCTCAGGGCCCCAGAGGAGTCAGCTGCGGGCGCCGGAAGTGGCAGGCTGGCTCCAAGCTGGAGCCAAACCTCAGGCCCTGGGCAACACGCCCTGCCTGGGGCTCCCAGAACCACCTGGAGCTCAGGTGTGACGAAGGTGTGCAGGTAGGAGGCGGGAAGAGGGGAAGACAAAGAGGGGGACAAATCAAAGCCCCCAAACCCCGAGAGCCAGCCCTGCCCCCCAGGGTCATATCTAAGACACTGCCATCTCTGCTCAAAGACGGATGGACAGAAGGGATGCAGACGGACATACCTCCCACAGGGATGCAGGCACAGGCTGGGGTGGACAACACGGCCTCTCCAGCCAGCCTCGGCCTCCAGCGCTGGGGAGGATGGAAGGAGCAGGAAGCAGGGGGTTGAGAAACAGTGGTGCCAGCCCCCATGGAGCGTGGACAGTTCCCGGCATGAGCCCACAGGAGTCCCAGTGCCAGGCACTCACAAGGGGGCTGAGTCGTCCCAGTGCCGGGCACCCAAAAGAGGACTGAGCCCCAGTGCCGGGCACTCACAAGGGGCTGAGTCATCCCAGTGCCGGGCACCCAAAAGGGGACTGAGCCCCAGTGCCAGGCACCACAAGGGGGCTGAGTCGTCCCAGTGCTGGGCACCCACAAGGGGGCATCCCCCTAGGCCCTACCACAGCCCCTCCCCTCAGGGTGGGCAGGATGGGCTTGAGGGCCCTTGAGTGGCGGGCACCCTGCCTGCCCAGCAGCCCAGCGGCTGTGAAAACAGTGAGGACTGGACCACCCGGGTCCATCAGTCCTTCATGCAGGGAGACACTTCGGGCCCCCCGGGACCCCCAGATGCTGAGAGTGGCGCAGGTTTCTGCGGGTGTCTGGCGGGCGGCAGATGGCAGGTCAGGGCTGTTCAGAAGGCTGACCCCACAGAGCAGAATCTGGGTTCCCTGCCCCCGGGCAGGCTGGACACGGGGCGCGGGGGGCCTGCAGACACCCGTCAGGCTGGAGCTCCAGACCCTGGGCTCAGAGACACGGCGAGGCCTCCCGGAGCCCCAGCGTTCCAGGGATGTCCAGACACCTGTGCAGAGCGGCCGCCAGGGGGAGCCAGAGCAGCTGCCCGGGGCCAGACCCCGGATGCGTGGACCAGCGGAACCGGAGGTCTCGGCACTGAAAAAGTCACTCTGCTGAGCCCGGATGGGGTGTGACGCTGACCAGGTGGGCAAGGCCACCAGCAGACAGACCCGCGGACGGACGGATGAGCCGAGGCCGGGCGGCTGGAGCAGCACAGGAGCCGCCGTGGGCCACCCCGTGATCTCTCGGGGCGTTTTACGACACTCAGGCTGTTATGCTCATTCATAAATACACAACTTTATTTGCTATTTTCAGGGGAAACTTAGGCATTAAACTGTAAGCTGATAAAATACGGATACCTAAAAAAGTATAAAAGTATAAATATCCCCTTGGAATAAATTTTAGTGGATTAAGTCTTAATGTCATTAAATTAAAAAACCACAAGCCTACCTATCACGTCACTGTCCTAAGTCAGGTGCCGCCAAGTGGCCAGCAGCTCCCCAAGGAGCCCGACCCTGGGCCAAGGACGGGCCACCTCCCCCCGGGGCCGCGGGGCGGGTGCGCTCGGCAGCGGCTAGATCTGCTTTATAGAAAGGTTCCGTATAAACGGTGTAAGCCAAACATGTAACAAGGTGTGACAGGCCGTACAAAAGGAGGAGGTAAGCCCTAGAGGCTGGACAACTCGGTTAGCCCGGTCATTGGCAAAGGAAAAGAGAGCGGGGTGAGAAGGCTCCAGAAGCGTGTGAAACTAGAGGGCATCGGAGCCTCTGACCTACGCGTGGCAGCCCCAGCGGTCAGCGTGCACGGCCACCTGGGAGAGCTGGGGCCGGAAAAGCAGAATTGGCCACCCCGCCACGTCCTTCCACCTCTGAGGCCTGCCGCCGGCACAGGGAACTTGGGGCGTGTGAACGGCCGTCTGCGGCAGGGTCCTGGCATGTCAGTGGCTCGCTGGGTGAGGCAAGCCTGTGCAGGCAGCGTGTCTCGTACATCCGAAAACACGAGAGAACTGCATAGTTAGACAAAGGAAACGAGAGAGCAGGCGAGAGAGAGACGTGTGATGTGTGTAAACACCCGGAATTTTCCGAGGAATCCGGGGCTCCCGCCCAGCAGCCTCTCCCCACCCGACGCCACTGCAGGCAGAACAAAGGCACCCACAGACGCTGTGTCACACGAGCCGGTTTATGGGAGGAGGCAAACCTCGGCTCTCTTCAGGCTGGCCGACGGGAGCGACCCGAGTGCAGCAGCACTCACAGGCATTTCCAAAAAGGAAAACAGCTGGCCGTCCACCCCGCTGGGAGAGGGACAGTTCTCTCGCCTGGAAAATACAAAGTGAGGCGCCATGGCTCATCCGTGCAGCTGTGACCGGAGCGTGGCTGAGAGGAAGACTCGCCGCCGGACGCAGAGCCGGGAGGGTGGGGAGCAGGAGACGCGAGGCCGCCTGTCAGGTGCCGCCGGCGAGGCGGAGGGACACGGCCGGCGAGCGCCCAGATTCAGGTGTCCCATAGCGGGCGGACTACCAGCTACTTCCTGCAGGGGCCCGCTGCTCGTCAGGGACTGTTTATGTAGCACCAAGAACGTTGTCCTTTAAATGATCTTCAACGATTAAAAAAAAAAAAAGTCATTCCCAGCAGGTCAGCGGCGCCTGGCAGGTCCTGGGCGGCCTGGACACTGTTCTCACCACCCGCAGACCCGCTCTCTAGAGAAAATCGTCACAAGCAGGCCCCTCCTCACAGCCAGGCCCCCTCAGCGTGGCGGCTGGCTGCATCTCGGGAAAAGTACGACGTTTTTCGCCTGTCAATACTGTCTTCACATCCTTGAGCCCCGCTCTTGCAATATCTGAAAAAGACCAAGGGCAGGGGGTGAAGCAGGCCTGGGTGAAGTGCGGGCCTGGGCGCAGGCGGCCTCCATCCAGACACAGGCCTGCCATGCACCAGCCACACCCACCACCTGGGACCTCAAGGCCCCTGGGTCTCCTCCAGACCCCACAGCTCACAGGCGCCTGGACAGGGCATCGGTCTGGAGGTGGGACAGCCCACTGGGACCACAGACCCTTCATGCCAGCCCACAGGCTCCTCCCAGGGCAACTGTCCTCAGAAAGGTGTGGGCAGCTGTGAGAAGGAGCCAGCAGACCCAAGACTTGCCCTCAGGTACCCCAACCTGCTCAGAGGAACCCCCTCCTTCCCTCCTTCCCCGACACAGCCACTGCCAGCACCGCTCCCTCCCCTCTTACAGACTCCAGGCCTGCTCCTCCTGAAGCCACCCAGTTCACCGACGCACCCCCTGACCAGGTGCGGCGGGGACCTCTTGTTCTACACCCCCCCAGCCTGCCACACCATCACGTCCAGAGGCCTGTCCCCTCTGTCCCCACAGCCTGAGTCTCTGAGCACACCAGGGCTGCTTGGGTGTGCTGGCCTCCCGACTGTGGCACCGCTGTGGGGCCTGCCCCCACTGGTCCCTCCACAGTGATCTTTGCGGGGGTCGCACGGTCCACTCCCTAGGGCCAGGCAGCACCCCTGCTCGGAGAGCTCACTGAGGCCCTCCCTGCTGAGGAACCTGTGCCCAACTGCAGGGACCAGCGGCCCCTGTGCACCCCAAGAGCGCCCCACATGCGGGCAGGCGGGCTCCAACCCCGCAGGGCTTCGTCCTTGGGGCTGTTCTCACGGCTAGTCACGCCCCCAACACCCCCTCACAGCCCAGACCCCCTGGAGTTAGGGCTACAGCGGTGCGTGGTGGATGGCAGACCTTCCAAAGATAACCGGGAGTGGGAGCCCGCCGAGCCCCCAGTGCAGCAAGCACAAGGGGACAAGCTGCTGCTGCGCGGGCCCCCAGACCCAGAGGCCTCGGGTGAGAGACGGGCAGAAAGGCAGCTGGCTGGCGGCTTGTGCTGAGGGACACCCTGCTGGGACCAGGCTCCTGTTGTTGACGTGAGTCTCGCCGGCTCCCGGTCACTTTCGAAGTGGCGACCAGAAAACCACACGGCTGCCGCGGGACAGCGCCGGGCTAGCCCTGGGCTCGGCCAAGTGCTCTCCAAGGGCTGGGAGGCAAAACCCAGGGTTTACCTCAGCCGTTAAAAACACACGCACCGCTTGGCCTACAGCTGGACAGAGCCAGGCAGTGACAGCGCCATGGCCCACCGACCTCTGGTCCGCCCGCACACTGCCGGATGCTGTGTCCTCAGGCCCACGGCTGGCACGCACCTGCCCCAGGCTCTCCTGCCTGCTGAGCGCCAGGTGGGGCGGCAGCTGAGAGTCCCCATCCCACAGGCCTGGTGGAAGCAGGGGGCTGCCACAATGATATGCTCCCCAGGAGGGCACGGGCCTCAATTTCCGTTTGTGAAACGAGGGCGCAGACCAGGGAGCAGCCCCGGAGCCCCACTAACACTCTGTGCAGCCAGTTATAGCCTGTTCGGCCAGGCCCTGCTGCACACTGCCCGCAGCCCCAGGCACGCAGGGCCGGTGGGTCGTCAAGTCTCCATGACAGGGGGCTGGAAGGAGGCCCAGAGACCACCACATCCGTACAGCGAGTCCCTCTGCCCTGGGGACGCCATGAAGCGAAGGACGCCCCTCAGGTACAGGGCACGCTCACGACCAGGCGGCTCCTACTGCAATCTACAGGCTGAGCGCCTAGGACAGGGGTGGCAGGGTGCGGTCTCTGCCAGCTCCAGGCGCTAAGGTAGGTGGGGCCGGCAGTGCGGGTCAAGAAAGGGGACTGCGGAGCACGGTGGCCTCAGGTCGCAGGCTCACCATGACCTTCATGCTAGTTGGGCTCATTGCCACGGGGACCCAGCTCCTCCTCACTCAGGCGGCAGCAGCAGCAGGAGAAAAGAGGCTTGGTCAGGGAGGGGCGGGCAGGAGGCAGGGGGAGGAACCCGCCAGACTGTCTCGGCCCATGCAGGCAGCAGTGCGACGCACACAGGGTGGGTACAAACTCTGGAGCAGGTGGGTCCAGCTGTGCGGCACAGACCCCTTCTGCTCGCGGGGCATGGGCCCCCCTGCTCGAGGGTGCAGACCACACTGGAGAAGAACACGGTGGGTGCAGGGTCTGTACCCACTGACCCTCAGCTCCAGCCTCTCCTCAAAGGTACCTCGCTGGCCGGGACCCCTCTAGGCATGGTGGGCAGTGACCCCCGGCTGCACTCAGTGAAGTTCTGGGTTGCTCCCACCCAGCCCCACAGTTGAGAAGTCTGACACCCCATCTCCCACCGTTTCTGGCGTGAACTGGGGAATGCTGGACGGTTCACACCGGGAGGCACAGCACCAGGTGGCGGCCATGGGAGCTGTGACCACGGAGCCACGAGCTCTGGAGGGAGACCTGAGTGGCTGCCAAGGCGGCTTCCAGCAGGGGCGGCGGCCACAGGAGCAGCCACGCGGGCGGCCGCCCTGGCTCCGGACGTCAGTTCCACCTGCAGGGCTGCCTGCTTCCTGCACGCTCTTCCGCAACACCCGAGCCTCCACCTGGGCCACGCCCCACGCTGGCCCCTGCAGATGCCCACCCTACCTCCCGCTCTGCCAAGGACCCCCAGGCTTGAGAGTGGGCCACAGGAGTCTCTCGCCCCTGGACAGCGGTCGCTGCCCCGCCCCTGCCACTTCCCTGTCCTTCACCCTGAGGCACCTAGCGTACTCAGGAAACCAACCCCACAGGGACTGGCCAGGGCCCTCCCCGTGGGTGCAGCAGTCACAGACACTGCTGGGACCCTGCTTCTACATAGCCCCCCACAAGCAGGCTGACGAGTCCGAGGAGGGCTGCGTACATGGAGCCTTGAGCCACTTCATATCAAGGCTGCCCCTGGGAACAAGGACCTAAGTCGCCCGAGAAAGCAGAGGCTCCACTGCCCGGCCCCACAGGGCCTCAGTGAGCCCTCAAGCCAGGGGACCCTTGCTGACAAGTGAGGCAAAGTCACCGGACAACAGGCCCGAGAAGCATCACGACCAAAGGCAGCAGCGCATCACAGCTCAGCAAGAACAGAGGAAAACGAGCCCCTCAGGACTTGGCCTGCCAACAGCCCCCAGCCCAGGGAGGCCCCCGGGAGAGCGCAGCCACCACACCCACCTTGGCCTTCTCACTGGGCTCGCTGGCCGTGCCGTACGGCGTGTTGTGCAGCTCCTTGGAGACGACGCACAGGAACTCCGCCTGGTCTTCGTTCCCATAGTTGTAAGAGGAGCCAATGCTGACCAGCTGGGAGGCAAGGGACAGGCCACATGACGTCCCTGGGGCAAAGCTAGCCAACAGGCTGCCCTGGGCCCACGCAGCGCCCCCACCCCGGGCCCACGCAGACCGCCAGCCGCCCACCCCGGGCCCACGCAGCGCCCCCACCCCGGGCCCACGCAGCCCGCCAGCCGCCCACCCGAGGCACTACCACCAGTGCAGGGCATGGCTGGGACTTCAGTTAGGGGAGCACCATGGCCTCCACAACCCACGCAGGGACACCACACCTGGGACAAGGGCTGACGTCCGGGAAGGCTCTCAATGAACTCGTGGGAAACAGACTCCCAAAACATCCACATGCACATCCATGTTGCACGCGTGTACGTGCGCGCACACACACACATGCTCGTGCACGCGCATGTAACCACAATCCCAGGGTGTGTCGGGACAGGCTCACCTCTCCTCGGTGGGCCTCCAGCATCCCTCTGTCCCAGCGTCTTAACTGGGCCCAGGGGACGCTGACCCGGCGGGGGGAGCAAAGCAGGAGAGGGAGGAAGGCACAGAAGCTTCCTCCTGGACAGCGCACACACACACACACACGCACGCACGCACACGTGCCAGGCCGTGTGTGAGAGCCCAGGAGAAGGCAGGGCCTGCAAGCTGACCTTCAATGACCTCGAGGACAGGCCTCAGGGGGTGGGAGGGGAGCCCAGCAGACAAGAACGAGGACAGGGCTTCCTGAGTTTGGGAGGCGGGTGCAGGGAGCCGTCTTCCCCCACTTCTCAGTCCGTGTCCACCCATGGCCCGGCTCTGGACACACCGCCTCCTGAGGGCCGTGGAACCCCTGGCCTGGCGCCTGCTGGACTCGGGCCGAGGCCTGAGAAGTCCCTCTGGCCAGGCACCCCCACGTGGCCACACCAAGAGCCAAGCGCTTTCCAAATGCAAAAAGGAAACCACTAAAAGGGCGGTGAGGATGCTGATGGCGGATTATTGAGCCAGAACGCGGCTGCGGTCAGGGAGCAGTGCGCGCAGCAGGCCTGCGCAGGGCGGGGGGCGGGGGGGCCGACGGGGGGGGGCCACCTGAGGGAGCCTGCAGGGCACAGGCAACAAGGGGGAGGGGCAGCCTGGGCTCTGCGTCTCCCAGAGGGGCGGCCTGAACACAGTCCAACTGGTGCTGACGGCCAGGATCTATCAGCAGCTGAGGCCGTCACGGGTGCCCCGTGTGGGGTCCGCCTCCTCACCTGCTCGAACTTCCAGCCGTCGGACATGGTGGACACCATCTGCGTCAGCTCCTCCTCCTGGCACTGCAGCACACGGTACACGTGCTTCGCCGGCACCTGCGGAGGGCCAGGGTCAGCGGGCAGCCGTGCCCCGCACCCTACACCACGGCCCAGCGCCCGGCACCTGCGGAGGGCCGGGGTCAGCGGGCGGCCGTGCCCCGCACTCCCCCACGGCCGGGAGCCCAGCACTCCCATCGCCCAGGTTCAGGTCACGATGCCCAAAGCAACCTGGACACATCCACAAATGCAAACCAAACAGCCCGTAGCAGCTGCTGCTTTCTGCTTCCTTATGCGCTTCCAAAAATATTTCTATTTCCAAATTGCAAAATAAAATGAGTCATCTTCCTAGAATCCCAGAGCACCTGTGGCTTGCTATGAACGTGTGAGGACACTCGCTTTTGTTCCCCAGCAAGTATCGGGGTGAGCCCAGGTGAAAAGCCACGGCCTTTCCCACCCCCCGCCACTGGCCAGCGCGTGGGGCCCCGAAGCAGGGTGAGGGCCTAGGCTGTGTGGGTGCTGGTCTCCCACCCTCCCCACCTGGCCACCGACCAGCAACCTGAAGTGGCGGGGCGTTAAGGCAGTCTCTTTACAGGGCTCCAGGCTGGCCTGGCTCCCAGAGGGGAAGCCCACTATAGCCGGGGCAGGGCGTGAAAGTGTCTTAAGTGGACTGACTCTCCTGAAGACGTGCGCAGGCAGCATGCTGCCCACTCAGCTGCCTTCTTCCACAGGAAGGGGATTCGCAGGGGGATCAGCTGCTGTGCTCCCAACCGCAGCGCTGGCCCGGGGACAGAGGCTGGCGGGTCTGAGCTCTCTGCAGAGTGTGCCGGGCACAGCTGACTTCTAACAGTGTCAGCCTCGTGGGCCTAGGCACTGCTGGCTGTGGCAGCCACGGACGGGCGAGTGAGGGTCAGCATCACAGGGGCACATGGCACCCAGGGAGCGCTGGCCCCACCCTCTTGCCCAGTAAATGCTGAGGTTCTCATCATGCTGGCAAAGGGCCACACCACAGGCCCCTCTGCCCCCCCTTAGCACCAGCTCCCCGGCCCTCCTGCCCCAGCCTCACTGGTCCCTGCTGGCCGCCAGCATGGCTGGGCCTGTGCCTGCCCCAGGCCCCTCTCACCTGCTGCTCTCCCTGACGTCCCCACCAGTGGGGACCACACCACCCTCCCCACCCCGAGCTCCTCCTGGGCCTTCCTTTCCTCCACGGCCCTTCTCACGCCATGACGCCCACGGGTTACAAGGCCCCTGAGGGTAGGCCGGGCCTGTTTGGCTTGGTGGGCCTCGAAGCAGCCTGCGCACGGAGCTGGACAGACACCTTTCGTGCCAGCCCCTGTGGAGGGAGTGGCCTTAAGGGACAGCTGGAGGTTGGGCTGCCAGGTGGGCCTCGCCTCAATCCAGAGCCTCCCTTAGAGGCGAGGCTGAGTCCTGCCCACACACCTCACCCCGGAACTTTCCGGAACATGAGTCACTGGCTCACCTGTGATGTTTTGCTGTCTCGTTCTCTAATTCTGTCCTTTACAAGTTTTATTAGTGAGGTGATATTGTAAAATTCCGCTTCCTCCAACACCCCTGGAAGAGAGGAAAATAACCATCATTCCCACCAAATCAGAGGCGGGTGACGGGGGAGCGCGGACTGGTCGATGCCCGGGGAAGCAGGGCCCTCAGACGGACGGGCAGCCAGGGGAGGCACCACCACCTGCGCATAACCAGACGCGCAGGAGAGGAGTGCGTGCCGGCGGCGGCCCCCAGCGCCCCGCCGCAAGGGGTCCCGACCTGCCAGCCGTGTCTGAGAGCCACTGCTGCCTGGAGGGAGGGGGGGAGGGGGAAGGGGGTCCACACAGCCCTCGTGCCCCCCGGAGAATGAAGGCCTGCATCTTTGAAGCAGGAGACTGCTGTCCGCACAGAAGATGCGGGGCAGAGTGAACCATTAAGACCCTGTGACTGCCCCGCCCAGGAAAGCCCAGGTGACCGGGGTCTGCCACCAGGACCCACCCCAGAGGGGAATGGGCCAGAGCGCAGGTGTTGTTCCCATACCTTCCTCAGCGAGGTCCTTGTTGACCACCAGCTTCCCATGTCGCAAATAGTTGAGTACGGGTCCAAAATAGGTGGGGTCTCTGTCTATCAAGTAGGCACCGGTTTCATCCTGCAAAGAGCAAAGCCCAGCAGCGTCAGACCAGGGAGGAACGCGGTTCTGCACCTGACCACGGCCAGGCCACGCTCACGGGGGCTGGGGGCAGGGAGGAGGTTCTGCACCGGACCACAACGCCATGCTCACGGGGGCTGGGGGCAGGGAGGAGGTTCTGCACCTGACCACGGCCAGGCCACGCTCACGGGGGCTGGGGGCAGGGAGGAGGTTCTGCACCTGACCATGGCCGGGCCACGCTCACGGGGGCTGGGGGCAGGGAGGAGGTTCTGCACCTGACCACGGCCGGGCCACGCGCACAGGGGCTGGGGGCAAGGAGGAGGTTCTGCACCTGACCATGGCCAGGCCACGCGCACAGGGGCTGGGGGCATCTGGGCCACGTGCGTCTCCTGGGTCCACGACCAGCGCAGTGCTCTCAGCACAGGAGGGCGCCCACCACCATGCTGAAGCTCCGGCCATGGAGGCCTCAGTTCCCAGAGTCTGTTGCTGTATCAGGTCTGAGCCAAGTTCAAGCTGTTTTATGTTGAAACAATCTGGGCTACAGGGCCCCTGGGAGTCAGAGACAGACCGACTCAGGCATCAGCAGCCCCCTCCCCAAGTGTGAGGACAGAGTGGGGCAGGGGTCCTCATTAAATACTTAAGCACTAAGTCTAGTGTTTCTTTTCAAATGTCTTTAGGGTTGATGTATATTTTTACAGCCAATGCTGAAACAAAAGAGAGCCCTGGTGGCACAGTGGTTAAGTGCTCGGCTGCTAACTAAAAGGTTGGTGATTCGAACCCACCAGCCACTCCAAGGGAGAAAGATGTGGCAGTTTGCTTCTGTAAAGATTACAGCCTTGGAAACCCTGTGAGCAGCTCTACTCTGTCCGATAGGGTCGTCATGAATGGGAATCGACTCGACGGCAGTGGGTTTGGTTTGGTTCTGGCTGAGACAAGCGGGCCAAACGCTGGCTCCTTGGGATGCAGGGGAAATGCTAAGGAAGCAATCTTAAATATAGCTTGTACAGTCGAAAAGAAAGCCTCCCAACTACATAACTATAAGGAGTCCTGATGGAGCAATGGTTAAGAGATCGACTCAAAGGTTGGCGGTTCAAACCCACCCAGCAGCTCCTCGGGAGAAAAGACCTGGGGATCTGCTTCCACAGAGATTCAACTATTGCCGTCCAGTTGATTCCAACTCATAGCAACCCTACAGGATAGAGCAGAACTGCCCCATAGGGTTTCCGAGGAGTGGATGGTGGATTCGAACTGCTTACCTCAGGAAACCCTATGGGGCAGTTCTACTCTGTCACCTGAGGTCACTATGAGTTGGAATCACTTGACAGCACCCAACAACATAGGACTGTAATACACGCTTGGTACGTAAACTGTGGGAAAGGCAGAAAGGAAGGGAAGGGAAGCCCTGTTCTGTCACGGGGCCCCGGGTGAACGTTTTGGTGCCCTTGTTCTTCGGACCACTGCTCACACGGCCGCGCAGCGCACCCACCCGAGCAGCTCTTCTCCCAGGCCTGCGCTAACAGCTGGACCGTGACATCCGTGAGAGGGAAGTACAGCTCCCAGGTGGAGACGCCACTGCGTCCCAGGCCGACTGCGTGTGCCCCAGTGCCCTGCTCCTGGGCCGGCCGGTCAGCTTGTGCCTCGGGAGCCGCCCCTCCCGACAGGAAAGCGAGGCCCTGCCCCAGGGCCCTCTCTCGTAACCGCCAGGGACACCAAGGCCATGGCCCTTGCCACCTCCCCACACAGTCCTGGAGGAAAACCCAGGTCAAGTGAGCCGCGACAAAGCATCAGGGGCAAAGGGCAGGGCTGCTGGTCCCTAAAAGGCCACACCCCCTTTACACAGCCACAGGTCCCGAGAACACCATAAAGAGCCAGTCAAGAGCGCCACTCCCACGCCAAATCCCAAATGGGAAACGATTCTACTTATACGCCTCGCTGTGCCTGACCCCCTGGAATCGCTGTCTCGGGCCAGCACAGGCTCCAAGTGCGACCCCGTGTGGGCAGCTGTGCATGGATGGGCTATGTCTGCGTCCACAGGTTTCTGCGACGGTTTCCTCCCCAGAGATGCTCCAGCCATAGAAACCAGCAAACAAGCCCTCCCGCCACCACAGTGCTCACGGTGGGGTGTGTGCTCGGGGAAGAACACCGGCAGATGGAGACCTGAGGAGACGCGTGGCCACCCAGGTCCTCCTGGACACCCCGCCCAGCGGTCTCCTCCAGCCTTCGGGACCGGCAAGCCCTGGGAGCAAGGACCGGGCCCCGGCTCACGCCGCACGCCACACGCCGCCCACCGCCCACACCAGCCAGCTGTCCCTCAGTGCCGCTGGCTTCCTCAGCCCGTTGCCAGGAATCACCCACACCTCCTCCCTCTCCCTTCTGCAGCCCGTGGGCAGCGAGGAGGCGCTGGGCTCACTGCCCCCAGCAGTCGCCACCCCAGCCTGCCTGCGAAACCAGCCACAGGCCTGAGGCCCGGCCACGGGGGCAGAGGAACTGCCTGGGAAACAGGAGTGGGGGCGAGGCTGGTGCCAGCCACGCCTGGGGCGTCCTGAGCCCTGTCCCAGACACACGGGTCACTGTGCTGCGACCTTGGAGCCAGGGGTCCTAGGCTTGAAGGCGTCAGTCAGGTTTCCTGCAGGAAAACACAGCAGCCGCCCAGGGTGCTGTGCCCTGCCTGCCCTCACCCACCTGTCTTCTGTCTCCTCACAGTGGCCGGGAGCTGCAGGTAGGAGAGGAGCCTGGGGGAAGCCAGAGGACAGGCCGGGGCGTGCCTCTCAGCCACCCTCTGGCCCTCAGGCTGGCACCCCGGCACCCCAGAAGCTCCACGGCCTGGCTCCATGAGGCTGATAGTGACTGAACACATTTAAGAGACAGGTGTTAAAGATGATTTTTTTTTGAGACCTCTCCTTTTTTTCTTTTTTTCTTGTGCTTTCAGTGAAAGTTTACATTTCAAGTTAGTCTCTCATACAAAAATTTACACACACATTGTTATGAAACCCTACTTGCTCTCCCTAAACTGTGACAGCACACTCCTCCTTTCCACCCTGGATTTCCCGTGTCCATTCAGCCAGCTCCTGACCCTCTCTGCCTTCTCATCTCACCCTGGACAGGAGCTGCCCATTTAGTCTCATGTATCTACTTGGGCTAAGAAGCACACTGCTCACAAGTATCACTTTATGTCCCCAAAGATGAATTGTGAGGGGGAGAAAAAGACATCTTTGGTACATTCTCTTTCTAAAAACAAATACAGTAACAACAACAAAACCTGCTAAAAGCGGTCTCTGTTCACCGTCACGACCCAGCACCAGGCCCGTCCATCATCTTCCTAATGCCCCTCTATAGAGAAGAACCGAAGGCTCAGAGACGTGCGTTCACCTGCCCTGAATCACACGGCAGGTTAAGTGGCAGGCAGAGGCAAACTCAGGCTGAGTCCCAAGTCTATCTCTTTCACCAAGGGACACGGCTCCCTGTCACCACAATGCCACCACACCAACCCTGGGCCGGAGCTGCCCAGGCGCCCTGCAGCCCCAGGAGAGCCTCCTCAATGGAAGAACAGGAAGGAGCGCGCGGGGCAGGAGGGGCTACCGGCGGGCGCCTCCCCCACTCCAAGGCTCTTAGCTGGGCGGTTGCTGGCAGGACAAAGTCCTTGAACCAGCAGAGGCAGGGCTGCTAAGAGGGTCAAAGTGGTGAGAAGGTTCTGGAGAGGAGCCATCGCACCTGCTCACGGAGCACTAGGGGCACGGCCACACAATGGCCAGCAGCTCACACGGCCCGAGGCCAGCCACTGCGCCACCATGCACCTCGAACCCGGGGCCGGCAAGCGTGTTCCGGGAGGGGCCACATGGCAAATGCAGTAGGCTGTACAGGCATACGGTGTGACTTCTCAACACTGCCCTCCCAGAGCAGAAGCAGCTGAACAGGAGTTGGTGTGGCTACACTCCAATAAAACTTTATGTGCGAAAACAGGCGGGTGGGCCACAGTATCCTGACCTCCACTCTAAACCAAGCCCCGCCATCGGCTGGGTGAGAGCAGCCACCAGCCTGCTGGGCAAGAGCAGGGGCGGCTGCATTTGCATTCAGCAGAAAAAGGAACTCCCAGTAGCACGCAGCCACTTCCTCCGGGCCTGCGTGACCAACGGTGAGCACCTCTGGAGGCCACATGTCTGCTGGACACCCCGACAGCCTCGTCCACCAAAGGCAAGCCCTCCTCTCAGGCCTCACCGCACAGGCTCATGGGCTGGTGCAGACCCGGGGGCCCTGCCAAGAGGTGCCCCCAGCTGGGGCACAGAAGGGCTGCGGCCTCTCTTGGGAGGGGACCCCACTCAGGCCCCGAATAAGCCACGTACCCGTGGTCAAGGCTAAGAACAGCGTCCAGGGTCCTGTCCTCAACCAAAGTGCAAAGCGAAAAGAGTCAAATGTCTCAGCCCCAGCTGGGGGTCCAGCTATTCCGGGTGTTCTCAGAGCACAGGGTGCTCATTCCAATCTGGTGAGGAAGCTCTCCCTCCAAGTTAGTAACTCCTCTCGCTGTGTTCCGAACCCTAAAGCTGTGGCCAACACCAAACGCCCCCCAGCGGGCACGCGCAGAGGACTGCACAGGGCCTGCCTGCGGGAGCACCTCCTGGCTGCAGCACCCCCAAAAGGCCCATCTGCCGCTGCCACCGCACCCCTGAAGCCGGAGACGACCCTGCGCACATGCCCAACGCTTGCGTGCAATCAGCCTCCTTCACTGCAGGGCGGAACCTCCTTAAACCCTCCTTAACCTGCGAGTTTCCAACCACAGGGCAAGCAGCTGGCTCCCTTTACCTCCTGAAGCACCCCCACACTCCTGCGGGGCTGACTTGGCAACAGACAACACCCTCACTGAACAGGCTGTGGACGGCACCGTGGACTGGAGAGGCATCAGCCAAATGAGTCCCACAGCACGTGTTTACAAAGCACTTAGCACAGGCGCCTGGGAGGGAGGGAGGGGCCAAGAGACACAGGACAGCCGACAGCAAGACTGAACGGCTCCCAGCGTGAAATGCGCCCGGCGTGAAATGGTGAAATGCGCAGCCCAGCTGCTCCCGCTGGAGGAAGTCCCAGGAGGAAGTCAGCACACACACGTGGGCTGTCTAGAAAGACCCTTTCAGGGAGGTGGTGGCCCTGGGCCCGCCCTCCACACAGAGGGGCATGGTGGGCAGGCGTAAGAAGATGAGGGGAGCAAGTCGGCCACCGAGCCAGTCGCAGCCCTGGCAGAGGCGCAGACGTGGGGCTGGGCAGCCTCATGTGCCGGGCACGCAGCTCCCGACTTCGGGCCGCACAGCCACCCTCCTAACAACCTATCCGTCAACTTCCGTAAAAAGCGCTCCTCCTCCCCTCTCACATGGCGGCGCTGCGGCCGCTCATCACAGACACCCAGCGTTTAAAAGCGCGCTCTGGAAGCCGCCCACACGACTCCCGAGTGACCTCCAAACTCCACCAGGTTCCTGGAAGGTTCCGCGTCTTTGGTTTGTGGGAACTCCTCCCCCTTGGGATCTCCCCGCCCAGCCCCTCGCCGAGCCCCAGGCAGCCCCTCGCCGAGCCCCAGCTCCGAGCCCCGAGCCCCAGGCAGCCCCTCGCCGAGCCCCGGGCAGCCCCCTCGCCGAGCCCCGAGCCCCAGGGAGTCCCCGAGCCCCAGGCAGCCCCCTTGCCAAGCCCCGAGCCCCAGGCAGTCCCCTCGCTGAGCCCCGGGCCCCAGGCAGTCCCCGAGCCCCAGGCAGGCCCCTCGCCGAGCCCCGGGCCCCAGGCAGTCCCCTCGCCGAGCCCCAGGCAGCCCTCGCCCAGCCCCGGGCCCCAGGCAGTCCCCGAGCCCCAGGCAGCCCCCTCGCCGAGCCCCGGGCCCCAGGCAGTCCCCTCGCCCAGCCCCGAGCCCCAGGCAGCCCCCTCGCCGAGCCCCGAGCCCCAGGCAGCCCCCTCGCCAAGCCACGGCGCCACAGCCTGCAAGCCCAGGTGCGCGCTGAGCGCAGGCGCCAGGTGGGCAGAAAACCTTCCGCCAGGGCCGCGCTGCAGTTCAGGAATGGGGCCATCGGCCAGGTATCCGCTCATTAATCCCGATGGTGAGGTTTACCCGTGAATCAACATCCTGTTTGTCTGCCATCATGTAATTAATGGCGCCCCATTCCCCCCAACACCCCTGTCCCTCTACCCTCATCCTCAGATCCTTCACTCAGGGTTTAATAATCTAGGAGGGAATCTCCTGGGACATTCTTTCATCACAACAACCAAAAAAAAAAAAAAAACCACACACACACGAAATCCGTGAAGTAAGCCATTGCACTAACGTGATTATGTGAGGCAGCATCACTCCTGCCGGCAAAGTCACACCGGGACTAAATCCGACCCTTATTCACTATCAGCTGCTTTAGGAGACAGACCATCTGCGGTGTTACCTTCAAGGACTAATTTTTGGTTTTACCACTTGGAAATCAAACGTCATCGGCTGGATGATGATGAAAAAGGGAACTGCCAGCACAGGTAGATTCTGACAGACCAACCACCTCCCTCAAAGCATTCCTATTACAGGAAAGCACAGTTTTTTTAAGTAGTTTTAAGAAACATCAAAATAAAGAATCGACTTAGCCGTGCAAACTCAAGCTAATGAGCCTCTGGATCGATTGTTCCAGAGCAGAACACAGACACTGCCTCAAGACAGCCCAGCGGACAGGAGCAATTTAAAAGCTGACTTGACAGGCAACCCAGGAGGGCTCGCTGAGAAGAAATGCAAGTGAGCTCCTCCGTTTAAAAAGAAAAACAAGCCAGTAAAACACACACCCACACTGTAAAAGGAGAACCACAGCTAACAAAGGCCCGTTTCTAGCCGGGAGACGGCTGTGGCCTTCTGGGAGGCCATTCTCTAAGAGTGGGGAGCAATGGAAATAGCGAGGGGCGGGGGGCAGGAGTGCTGGCATCTCAAACCCCCCTTTCTGACGGGCTGGGTGGTTTTGCGGTAACGTAAAGAGTCCTCATTTCCTGATTAGAGGGTTATGGCACATTGAGGAGGGTTTCTGTCAGGCTTCTTGAACTCAAAGAAGGATCTGAGCCTTTCTGGGAAGCCTCATGCTCGGCTGGCCAGGCATATAGCCAAGTGCAATTAAGTCGGCTCAACTGAAAGACCCAGTAAAGTTAGCATAAGGCTTGGGAACTGCCTGGAATAAATATAGGTAACGATTCTTCCAGCAGGGCCTCTGCTGAGTTTCAATCCTGTCCCGTTCCCAAGAGACGCTCTCCCTCGGCCACACGGTTCTGGTAAAGCAAAGGTCATGATCAAGATAGTTTCTATTACAATCTGCACAACAGTGGGAGCCTTTAACTGGACGAAAGACGAGCTGCAAAACTCAAAATTCCTAGCCTTCTGCGAGGGCAATGGGAAAACTAAGTTAATCAGAAAGGGATTTCCCACCTGCCCCCTGATGGGGCCCTCCAAGCCGCCCCTCAATATGAGCAATATTCCCTTGGAAAAACCACCCCTCTGAGAGCGGCTACGTCCCTAAGAGAACGGAGCGCCAACTCTCTAAATGCAAGTCACCCGGATCAGCCCCCGAGCCAAACGTCCGCAAGGTAAGGAGACGAGAAGAACGCGACGGCTGTCGTCCGTCTGCAGAGCCAGGAAGGACACTGGGACGGGGAAGAGCGGGAGCTCACACACCCGGGGCGAAAGGGCGGAAAAGTGGGTCCGCGGCAAAGTCCAGGCTCTGCGGAGCGACGCCCCGAGGAGAAGCGCCTGGGGATCCTCCAGGGCGGTGGGCGCCGGGGCACCGCCCTCTCCCTCCCCGGCCCAGGACGGGGCGTCAGGGGTCCGGGTCGCCCTGGTGACGACGGAGCGCGGGGCTCGGAGCGCGGGGCGGGGGTGCGCGCGCGGCGCGGGCGGAGCGGCCCCGACCCTCGCGGTTGGCCCGCGCGGCCCTCACCTTGTCCGAGTCCAAGTCGGGGTCGGCCTGGCACAAACGGTACAGGAAGGATTTCGGGTCCCGGCACAGCGTCTGCCGGGTGGTGAGGAAGTAGGTGCCGCCGACGTTGAGCCGGACCCACTTGGACACGCTGCCGGGGCGCTGGGTCGGGACGCCGAGCCCCACGCTGCAGCGGCGGCACAGGCCGCCCCCCAGCCCCGCCCCGAGGCCGCCCGGGGCCGGCAGCAACAGCTCGCAGTGGTTCTCCGCCATGATCCCAGCAAGCCCCGCCACAGCTCCCCTCCACCGGAAGCGTCCGGCCTTTAATACGGTCCTCTAGGTTCCGTCCCGCCCACGGGTCCGCCCTCGTAACGCGCCCGCCCCGGCGTCACGCGAGAGGCGGAAGTTCCGGTCCGGAAAAGCGATAGGCTGTGCCCCCTTCCGGCCGGAGCGGGCCATGGCGTGGACCGGGGTGGGTTAGCAGGGTTGGGCGGCGTGGACGCCCGACTCCCGATCCGCGACCCCTCAAATGAACACGAGCCACGCCAGCGAACGTCTACACCTCTACATGCCTATTTTATTACAAGACTACTGAGCATACGTGGAAAATTCATCATCCGGTCACTACATCTAAAGCACAAATACTTGGGAAAAAAAAGAAGAGAATAAACAGATTCATTAAATTATATGATTAAATCATTGACCAAATAGAAAATTTATATAATAAAGCCAGAAAAAATGTTGTAAAATATAGTTTACAATAATTATTCACATTCAAGGCTGTACATCAATACATACAACAACGTGGCCTCGAACATGAATTCAATCCAAATAATTCATATATTAGAATTTAAATAACACAGACTGAACTAGAGGCCAACAAGTCAGCAAATAACCTTATAGAAGAATAAAATACAAAAGTGTATATCCTAATATCATTGCATTATTTGTTTTCATAATTTTTTTTAAAATTTTTGCTTTGCCTGTACATCACAGTTACAGCTACAGACCAGGTAGAGAATATTACACATGTTCTAACTGACTGCCACCAACCTGAACGACAGCTAACACACTATTTTAGGTTGTTAAGGAACAGCTACAGCAGCTCTAAACACTGCCACGATTTAATTTTGCCAACGTCCAATCAAACTCGTGGTCATAATAGAGGCTTTTCACCAGCAAAATGACCCCCGCTCATGTCATTCAGCCAGACAGGTTAGACTAGGGTGGATTACACAGCTATAAAAGGTTTGCCTTTTGTAAAAAGCTCTCTGTACATCAAGTTTGGTGTTTCTTCATATTGAAGAAGTGAGTTACGGGGAAATTCAGGTAGACTGGTAGGCTTGTTCAGTTGTCCACCATGGCTGTCTGAGCTACGGATACAACTCCTCTTGGCTGAAGCAGCATCCTCCCCTGACCAGTTTTCCACAGGCAGGCTGACCTACAACCTTGCCATCTTGGGCCAGTGAGCCTCCACCCCAGCCTGATAGGACGACACTTGCCAGGTATGCTGCCTAAGAAGCAGAGGCCACACCTACTCGAGTCACCTCCAGTTCATGTTAGGTGAAGGGATGAAAAGAAACAAAATGGGAAAAAGTATATGGCAAAATCTCAAAGCCTAGTACCTTCACCCTACTGTCAGAGCAGGTGCGGCCTGTACTGCCTGGTCTGTGGGCCAGCAGGGGGTGAGGGGACCTAACTCTGCATAATTCAACCACAGCCTCTAAGTGCCACCGAGCACAGTGCCCAGATAAACCTGGCATGCATATTTACCATCAGAATCGATGCCCCCTCCCACACCGCCACACACACACACACATACACACACACACACACACTCACACACTCACACACTGAAGTGGAGAAGTTAAGAATGAAACCAGATTGGATGGTCTGGACTTGAGGGCAGCCAGCAACTTTCAGCACTTTGGGCGGGGGGAGGGGGGAGCCCCTAGAGTCAGACCAGCCGGGACAACCATATTCTAAAATGGAAAAACGACCAGGCTGCTGTGCTCCACTGGACCACTAAAATGTTCTGACCAAACCTCACAATTCGAAGAGCAGAGGGGCAAGTACACCACTGTAAAACCCAACCAGTCTACATGGTTTCTTTCTCGAGCATAAAGGCTCTTCTGATTCCAAATAGTCCAATGTACTTTGAGTCAGTATGTGTAATAACAAATCACCCACTGAGCACGTGGCAAGGCCAGTTCAACACTTTGTATCTCTGCTGACTGCGCAGATGTAAATTCAGTACCATTGTGGACACCAAGTACAGGATTCTGAAAAGATGGCCGAGCACGTGAAAGCCGGAGAAAAGGAGAGAACTAGCATGCAGGCACAGCCGGACCCTTCCAGTGAAAACAAGGAGAGTAACTTTCAGAAAGATCTGTCACGGATGGGTTGCAGCAATGACCTTTTAGCATTTAAAAAAAAAAAAAAAGAGCGGGCTTATTCGAACTTTCTTTGGAACATCTGACTTACAGAAACCTATATAAAATCTGCAGGACAGAACTGAGGAGGCTGTTACTGGGACTCTGAGCAGTGAAGCATCAGATCAAGAAGAGAGGGAGAGAGAATACCACCTTTTAAAATGAACAAACTCTTTAACCCAAAAATACCACTTCTAGGAAGCTAAGGGGGAAAAAATACGTGAAAATCAAAGGTTTATAAGGCCATTCATCAGAGCATTATTACACGGTGAGAAAACAAAACCACCCAAGTGTGTCACAGCAGGGAAATGGCCAGGCAGATCGTGATGAAATTTACAACCATTAAACTCTCCAATCTTTAAAACCATGATTTTGAAGAATTGCTCATGACACGGGAAATGCTTAAAATATCAAGGGAAAAAAAACTGGATGCAGAACGATCTACGTTGTATGATCCCAGGCTGGTCAGCAAAGATAACCAGTGTGCGTGGGGACGCATGGCAGGACCTACGCCTACAAGTCCACAGCGGTCCCCTCTGGCGGCGAGCCTCCAGCTGACTTCAGAACACCAACGTGGGCTGGAAGAGACCACAGCTTCACCCCGAACCTCTGGAGGGCCCTGGGGTCTGTGCCAAGGGCTGTCTCATCTGCAATCCTGCCAGGCCTGAGCCACCGATGCCACAGAGTGGCCCAGAAGAGCGCTGGGGCAGGTGAACAGGCTCCTCCCAGCCACCTTTCCTAAAGATGGTTTTAACAGGCTCGAGACGGCAGCCTCACAGCAGCACTACCCAGCAGGGGCGGGATGGCCTGGTGTCCACAGGCACTGAGCATGGTCGTCTGTGGTCCACAAAAAGGAAAAGAACAGCCTCGTCCTAGCCAGCTGCCCCTGCACTCTCCTTGCCTCTCGCTCAGACTGTGGGGATGTCCCTGCCTGCTCACAGACACACGCGTCCTGAATCTGTTATACCTAGGTAACACCCACATTTATTTTTCCATGCGTGCACATCTGTGCAGAGACACCCACATACACATCTGAGAATGTAAGGCAGCTGGGTGCCAGAACTACGGCTCCAGGGAGGGGCTGGATCAAATGAAAGCTGACAGGAGCAAGCACAGGGCACGAAACAGCAAGTGTGGGCCTTCCAAACCAGCGAGGGGAGAGGGGCTCACGGGTGGGAGGACCCAGAGACAGGCTAGCATTCGTCAGCTCAGGCAAAGGGCAGTCCACGCAGCTCAGCGCGCCACCAGCTCCACCCTGACCGTTTCTGAGCCTCAGGCTGACGCCCAGGAGGTAGTGGGGCTGCCAGAGGGGCAGAGGCCAGTATGACGGCCGCCTCCCCTGCTGCCCAGCGAGGTGCTTGAGGGAAATCCTCCCTCACCAGTGGCCTGGCCTGACACCCAGGGCCAGACGTGGCTCATTCCAGGCGGAGGGGAGGGGGCGAGGGAACCTTTTCTGAGTCTTTTGCTCCTGCCACTTTGTGAGAATCTAAGGGAAATCGCCAACTTCTTCTCCCGTGGGGCCTCCAACTCAGAGCCGGTCTGGGAGCCGACCGTGAACACTGGTGTCAAGGGCTGCCTCTGGGGACAACCTGGGACAGAGAGAGGAAGGACCAGCCGAGTCGGCTAGACCACCGAGTCCTCTCTGCCTGAGCAGGGCAAGGAATAAAACAGCCAAGTTCTGGACTGTGTGTATAACAGCAGTACACAGGAAAACCACCCGAAAAGAGGGAGCCACACCAGGTGTGCTCAGGCACAGGTATGTGTGGGGTTCAAACCGGGTGGGCTCAGGTACAGGTGCGTGGGGGGTTCAGACCGGGTGTGCTCAGGCACAGGTGTGTGTGGGGTTCAGACCAGGTGTGCTCAGGCACAGGTGTGTGGGGGGTGGTTCTCGCCTCTTTTACGCAATGGTAACACTTCCTTCCAGACAACATCAGCTCTTTACGGGACGAGTGGCCAGCCCCACTGGGGATGAGAAGCTCGGTGTCAGGCTGTGCAGAACAAGTGGCCACAGCTGTGCAGGACAAGGGCACGGCTCTACCTGCTCGACCCAGGCTCCTCTCAGCCCTGCTTAACCAGCGCGGGCCCCATTAACGCCTTTCAACAGACAGGAGAGGCCGGACGTCTCACTGCCCCACAGGGAGGCCCCAAGGGGGCCTGCTCTGCCTGCGTCTCACAGGGACCACCTGTGACGTGACCAGGGTCGTGCCAGTCAGGCTCACTCCCTTCCAGGTGTGCCGTCCCCTGGGCTGAGATCTGACCGCTTCCCTGACAACCCGCGTCCCCACCTCGGCACACGGCGCCTGAGCCCACACGATGAGGACCAGGACCGCGGGGAGCCTGCAGCCCGGGCCGCGCGGGGTCAGGCTGAGCCAGAAGCGAGGGCGCGCCGACAGAGCACACGGCCGCCCG